TTAAATTTAAAATAAAATACCTGGAGAACATTGAATTCCTAGGTTAAAAACCACCTCTGTTTAAAGAATATTAAAAACAACAACAAAAGTGCACCATATGCTTTCAAAATGACAATGGAAACATTTGTTTATCTCAGCCAGAGCCATTTCATCAAACTGCTCAGATCCGCAGAGCGGAATCCACCCTGAAGCAGAAGGGCTGCCTGCGCTGAGCACACATCTGGCAGCTCCAGATCCTCTGCGCAGCGTTCTCAGGCCGGAAATGCTGCACCAAGACAGCTGCAGGGCTCTCTTCCAGCTCCTTCCAGCTCCTGCTGGCGGCTCACCTCGGCCTGAGCGAGCAATGGCCAGCGTCCCAGCCCAGGGAAGGCGGGCATACCTCACCCAGGGTCAGGCTGCACCACTCCATCTCCCCCAACCTCCTAAAAATGCCGCCTGCAGTGCTGTCATCTCTGGGCGAAGGCTCGAAGTCAGTGACCTCCTCAGTTCTAACCAGATTTGATGAGTTCAACAGTGAGTCATTAGCTCTTTTCTCACATCTCCGTTTCCTCTAGGAAAAATGATCTGTCATTCTTTCATATCTTTATATGGAAGATGCTGTGACTGGGTTACATCAGCATCTTTCCACCAAAGCAGTCAGAACTTAAAGACTGCAGCTCCTCTCCTGAGCCACAGGAGTCACTGTGGAGGTGAGGAGGCGCTGGTTCCCTGGGCTAGTCCAGGGGTCTCCCCCTGACCCCCAGGCTCTGAGCTCCCCATGCTCTGAGCTGCCCGTGCTCTGCGGGAGGTGGGGGTGTGGAGGACAAGCCGACCGCCTGTTATAAACACTTCCCTTTGAAGTTTTTCTCTAGTCTGACAAGTAAAAAAAGGAAATCCTGAAGGAGGAGAGTGGGGCCTAAGTACAACTACAATAAAAGGGGGTAATTAAAGTTTGGTCAGTTGGGTATTAACAGTCATTCTGGAAGTCAGAGGGTTCAATTCCGTCTTTGACTTGCCTCTCGCTCCCTCTGTCTCTGTCTGTGTCTCTCTGTGTCTCTCACACATCCACATACAAACACACACAGGATCTTAAACACTAAAACAAAAACACTACATAAAGCAAAAGTACTACTCTGTTTTGCTAATATTTTCCTTCATTGGGCGATGGCCAATAAACCAGCAACTTGTATATAGAACAATATAACATATTCATGCATAGAATACTAAGTCAGATTCCCCAAATCCATAGTGTCATGGATATTCCTTCTACTCTCCACAACTTCACTTGGAAGATTACAGGGGGAATAGAGAAGGAAATCACTTAGTATTAAATGTTTAGCATACATGTGATACAATTACAGAGGAAATCTCATTGTGAGTTTTCAGACTGTATATTTTATCTAATTCAGTATGACAGAAGAAACCAACATGATTATTTACTTTCTTTAGTTGCCTAGGTTGGAGATTCCACTCTTCCATAACACAACCTGCTTATTTTACTTGAAAAGAAAATCCAAGGTAATTCCTCAATTCTCTTTTCTGTATTTTAACACCGCACTGCTGCTGACTGACACTACTGCTGGAGGACAGGTCACACCTAACGAATGGGAAGTCTTCATGTCTCTAACTGAGGTGCTTTAAGGTCACAATAATAAAGTATATGCCATACAAAATGGTCTAACCTATTTTCCATTTCATTAAAATAACTACCTTATTATCCTCCTATTCTATGCTTTCATTTAATACCCTTTGATCATAAAGATACTTTACTTTTGTTATTACTTTCAAAATGGTATTACTAACAGAATTGGTATTTAGCCCAAGATAAATACCAGAGTACCAGGGCTTCTCATCAGGGCACTATTAACATTTTGGACTGGATAATTCTTTGATATATGGGGAATGGAGCTCTGCTACACATTTTAAGGTGGCTACCAGCATCTCTAGCCCCTACCAGTCAAGGCCGGTGGCACCACTCCAACCCTAGTCATAACCAAAAATATCTGTAGACGTTGCCAAAGGCCCAAGTGGAGGTGGCTGGGGGAGGAGGGGTGGTGCAACATCGCCACAGCCAGAACCACCACAGGTGCCTAATTTGCTGACAGTGAAAAGGGGGAGGAAGGAAAGAAACTGAAGCTTTTTGTCTCTTCTTTTGTTGAGTGTCCAAGCCTCCACAGATTTTAGTGTTAACTGTCAAACTACTCGAAGTTCACAAATTCCCACTGGGCAAACTATCGGTAAATCTTAACATAACTCCACTTTGAGCCTTAAACTAACAGCATGTGAAAAGATCAATATGAATAAGTTCAAAACTAATCAGACCTCCTCTTTAAATGTTGACACAGTATTATTTATATCCCATAAATACATTCTTGACTAAAATTCATACTAAGAGCTTGGCACCTGGCCAGTTCTATTCATATTTACTGTATTTATATAGTACACTTGGCCAAGGATAATATTTAAGACAAAATATGCCTAAGGGCATATACAATATCTCTTATATTTTTACTTTAAATCTCTACATTGCTAAAAATATTTAGCCTGAACTTTATAAAATGTCCCACAAAGGACTATCAGCAATCTGTGATGATATATAGCTCATTGAGTATAATTAGAGCATATTTGTAATACTTGAGCTGAAGTCATTCTCTGAACACGAATAAGTTGGTGGTTAAAAAAAAATGAACCAGTGATCTTTCCCATGCCTGCCTCCCTAGGGCTTATGACCTTCACTGGATTCGCTGCATGAAATGACAGGCACGGGTCCTGCCTGCAGCCACCTACCTCACTGAGCACCAAGTTCAAAGCTGGACAGGAAAGTCCCAAGGAGGGAATGCGGGTGTAAGCCACTTGGAATTTGCTTTTTAAAAATACGGTAGAGTGATTTTTTTCTTCTCTTCCATTTCTCTGGGAGAGATCCCCATATACCAGCACAACTACAAAGTGCTAGAAACTTCACTGACCTCCTTTCTCCACAATAATGCACAGTTCTTATGTACACAGCATGGGCTTTTTGAAGCTTGGAGTTCTATGCAGACTGAAAGTATATTTCTTTCCTGGCTTAGTTAGGGTGCTGGGGATAGAGTAGAAGGGAGAAACCACACACTGATCTCAGATGCCACGCTCTGAAATCCTCCCAGGGATCTGGGAAGATCTTCAGTTTGTTAATGACCGTAATCCTAGGTTGGACCATGTCAACCAGCCCATCTTCAGCTCTCAGACCGAAGTGTGCAGAGGAGAACGAAGAATCAGAGCCCCAGTGGGTAACCTGGACTGTCCACATCTCTGCCCTGAAGAGATCAGACCGCCTGTGTGTTGTGTAAGTCCTAGAAGTCTCTGAGCTTTCGCATGTAAACACTGAGGGCTGAGTTATTCAGGTTCTGCCTAACAGACCTGCTTGTCTGCCTGAACAACAGGAGAACAGATGCACGTGCTAGAGAGAGCCACTGACTCAGCTGCCTGCTCAGTCTCATTGGTTTTGGACCAATTACAATGTACTTTCTCTCCTAATATCGCCTTGGCTCCACCCCAGATAGAGAGCTTTACTTGGGGTGGGGGGCATAACCAGGGAGGAGTATGTTTATCCCTCTTGTTGTAAAAAGCTCTGTAATACAACAACAACATCATTTTGCTTGCCAGGATTCCCAGCATCTGCTCTGCCACTGAACAAGTTACGGAGACCCTGCAGCACAAGAGAGGTGGCCGGAAAGACCAGCGTTAGACACATGGGCAGACATCACGAACAAGACACGGCAAGTCACAGAGCCCCGACTTGTCACACTAAAAATAAATATTAAAAGAGAAGAGCACTACCCTGCCATGAGGACTTCTAGGATAAAGTTACCAAGATGGCCGGGCTGTCTATTTAGGCAAGACCCAGGGACTCCTGAGCCAGCTGAGTATATAGGGCAGGACAGAGGCGGAGAGCAGCAAGGAGCCAATGGACAGTTTATGGCTTGGGATTTGGAACGCACAACTGTTGAAGCATTTTCACTTTTTCTGTTCGCTGCTTCTTCCTGGTATTTAACCCCCTCAGGTGTCACTGGATGCTGCTGCTGCCTTTAAAAAAAGTCTGAAATAATTCTGCACTATCTACCCACTCCCTAAAGAACCCCAGAATAAATCATTCTACTCCCATGGCTACTGCACGCCTGCTGGTTTTAAGGACACTGCTTTCAGGGAAGCCAGTAATAATAATATAATAATAGCAACTCCGCAGAGTTTGCTGTCTTAGATTTGGGGCTGCACCGAAGTAACTGCAGAAAGCCTAGGAAAGGGTTCGGAAGCACAGAGCTCACGGTTGGAAGAAATCAACCACAAAACCCTAAGAAAAACGATCTGCTGCGCCGGCGATTTTAGGAAGGCAGGTTTGCGGGGGATTTGTGCAAATCCGAGTGAAGCAAAACCTCCCTTAACACTGTCGGAAGCGCAGTTGTCCTTCTCCCTACTCTGGGTGACGCCGAAGAGGGACTCGGTTACAGATCTTTGCCTGGGGGTACGCTGCGAACAGCTGGCGCTGGTGACAGATACTTGGAGGAGTAAAGGGTTTCTCCAGGGGTCCCCATTCCGGGTTTGGTCTTCGCGTTGCTGACTTTTTAGGGGAGCGAGAGACAATAGGAAGGCTCGGGAACCAGCTGATAGGTCGGCACGCACAGGGGGCGCCTTCCGGAGAGGCTAGTTCGGAGCCACTATTTTGTTTAACCCTTGGCGCACCAGCTCAGCGCGCCCCAAGCCAACCCGGGCGCAGAAAGCAGACCTGGCGAGATCCCCCAACCCTCCTTTCCCTGCGCCCCAGGAAGCGCCCCTAGGGCGACGGGAGAGCGGGTCCCAGCAGGTGGCCCCGTAGCGGACGCCAAGGAGCGCCGCGGGGATCGACGCCCAGGGCAGGACCGCCGGGCGCTGGGGAGGGGTCAGAGGGAAGAAAGGAGCGCGGAAAGCCGGGGCTGGGAAGGGGCGCGGGGCGAGGGGACGGCGCGCCCGCGGGCGGCGGGAGGCGGCGGGCGGGAAGCAGTACTCACTTTCGGAGAAGAAGGGCTTCATGTCGATCTTGTAGACCTCCTTGGCGTAGTACTCCTCGTCGCTGCGCTCGCGCTCGCAGGCGGCGGCCCGGCGGCTCGCCTTCTCCTGCAGCAGGTCCCGCGTGCTGTTGTAGATGGAGATCACCTCCGGGGGCACCTCCTCGGGCTCGGGGAAGTCTTCCGGGGGGCTGGTGAGCTTCAGCTTGCTGAGGATCTGCCCGCGGATCGCCTCGATCCTCTTGCGCATGAACTGGTCCATGTCGAGCGAGCTGCAGGTAGACAAGGCGAGCGCCGCCGGCACCAGATGCAGGGTCAGCAGCGCGCTCAGCACGCGGGAGTGCATTTTTTTCTTAAAGGTGGAAAAAGAAAGTTTGTTTTTTTTTTTAAAGTAAGAGAAAAAATAAAAACAGAAATCAGTAATTCTCAAAAGTACAGATCAGGTAAAGTTGGTTTTTTGTTTTTTTTTTTAATAGGAAACTTTGCGAGCAGTCGAAAGTCAGTGCTCAATAGAAAAAAGTATCTTGCTTGATTTCCGTTAAAAAATGCAGGTCGTTCCAAAAGTGGAAATATTAATATGCGACGGGCGGGGGGGCTGCCTTTGGGGAGTAAAAAAGTTCTCTTGGAGCGACGAGCCGGGGAACGGCGGACGAGTGCTACTCGGCAGAAGCGGATCTGGGAGGAGAGGCGAGCTCAGGTCGTCCCGGCGCGGCGCGGATCTGAACTCGGCTCCTCTGCCTGCGGAGATGAAAAGGCCGGCGCTGGCGCCGCCGGGGCGGGCGGGGCGCGGCGGGGCTACGCCGGGCTGGGGTTCGAGTGTTTGCAGAGGAGCGCGCCGGGGGCGAGGCGAGCTGGGAGCGCACACGTGTGCGTGTGTGCACGCGTGTGCGTGCGTGAGCGCCGCGGGAGGCTCAGGCGCTCGGTCCGCCCCGGGCGCCGCGCACCGCGGGGCCTATGCCGGGTCCGGTCCAGGTCCCGGTCCCGGTCCCGGTTCCGCCGCTCCGCCGCCCGACCTCCTCCGCTGCTCGCCGCCCCGGCCGGGGTCGATCCTCGTCGCCGTCGCTGTCCCCGCGGTCCCCGCAGCCCGGACGCGCCGACCGAGGCTAGAGCCCAGGGGTGCAGGGGCACCCCGATCCCGCCCGATCCCGGCCCGGCCCGCCTGGCTGCCTCGCCTAGGGTCGCTGGGCACCGGCCACCCCGCAGGCCCTGCGCCCGCCTGCGCCTCCCTGCGGCCGGGCGGGCGGCTCCGGAGCGGCTCCTACACCGCTGTCCCCGCGCTCGCCATCCCGCCGCGCTCTCCTCCGCCTGTGGGGCTCCCGGGCTCCGCTCCGCTCGCAGCGAGCCTTCCGCTGCCAGCAGATAACATCACGATCTTGCCGGGAGGAGAGATTTATAAGTTCTCTGCGGACCACGTGTCTGCCTTCAACAAAGTGACGTGCGAGGGCCGCGGTCGGAGGAGTCCGCTCGCCGCTCAGACGCGACGCTGCCGCCGCCGCGGGGTGCGCGGGGAGGCGCACGCGGGTTGGGTTTCGGCCGCGCGCCTGAGCGCAGTCCGGCCACGCACCGGGATCCCGCATCCCGTTTGCACTTGGCCTGGGTAGAGCAAAGCCTCTGGGATGAGTCGCCGGCTCTAGAATGGAGCCTTCCCTGCGCGCGCACACACTCACACACACACACACACTCTATCACACACACACACACACACACACACACACACCCGCACACAGGCACAGCCGGGCCGGTCAGGCCAGGCCAGCCCGGGGACATGCCCTCCAGCTGATTCCTGACCTACCTTTAACTTTCTGGGATTCCACAGCAGGTTGCTGCGATTACACTGTTGTTTACAAGCTAGTCTCGTGTGTGAACTGGTGGGGAACGGAAATCTCTCTGCGTGTTTCATTTTAAGGAATGAACGGTCACCTTCCTTGCTCCGTAAGCAGCGCGCTGTGCGGCTTTCTCTGCACCGTCTCCCTAGAGGAGCCATCAACCGACTTCATTCTTCCCACAGGGTAGAATGAAGGTCCAGGATTTTAAGTGTTCGATGTCTCTGCTATATACGACTCACAACTTGACATCTTCTACTTCAACCTATTCCAAATTTGAAGGATACTACAATAATTTCTGCCATTGTTCAATTTTACCTTTAGTCACTCAAAGTCAACATTTTAATCTTAGCATGGCTTTGTGGCCATGCTAACTAGACAGATGAAAACTCTGCTGAGTTTTCCCCAAAACCCCAGGCCGCTATGTTATCCTTAGTTCAGATACAGCCTGGCTCCAAGGTTTGGTATTTATACTAAGGCATGCACGGGGCCTATGCTATAGTATCAGTATACAGAGGCTGCATGAATAGTAACAATGCTAGCTCGTGCTAACACACTCTGCACACAGTACTGTGAAGTATTTTATTACTGTATTTTGCCAAGAGACTGAGCACAAAGTTCAGAGTGCTGAGGCCAGTCAGTGGCGGAGCTGGAGTCTGTAGTCAAGACCGTGTGTTCTTCCCAACTCTGTGCTTCTGATCCTAGAATATGTCGTGACCAACAGGACACTTGGTCAGGTAGGTGTGGGAGATACAGGGTACCTAACTGTCACCTCTTATAGAATCAGGATTCTGTTTATTGGGTTTAGGGCTCTGAGAATTCTGCAGAATTTTTTTTAAAACTTTTAACTTCACATTTCCTCAACCTCCTTGAATATAGAATTTTTTCCCCCAGTTGTTACATTGGAAAATTCTGGAATAAATTGTTCCATCCAGCTTCTGAATAACTTTGAAGATGATGTCCAAGTCAGCATAAACAGGTTCCTTTCCTGGAGCCACTCACGTGGAGCTGGACAAGCAGCTACCATTCCTCTAGAATCAAGAGGAGCTACTGTCCAGCTACCAGCTTCCAGGCATCCCTGTGAGTTCAGTTGTGAACTGCAGTAATCTACAGAGAGAACAAAAAGGGGCGGTTCCTGTACTTGGGCAGTTGTAGAACATAGAGCAGCAGGAGCTGGAGGTGGTGTCACTCCAGAAGACAGCTGGCCCCAGAGTGAGCCGTCGGCCTCCGTGCTGAGGACGCGGCTTCAGCTCTCCACGCCAACCCGCATCTCCCGTGTGGTGTTTAAAGACTGCACGTGTGGTACGCACACAGACGCACCTTGGGTCACACGGATTAAGATCCGAGAGTGTGGATCCAGCAGCAAATCCATCTAGATTACTTTCAGGAAAACAAGACAGCTCTTGTGACAACCACCCATCCCCAGCAGTGGCACCTACACTCTTGTTCCTAATACTTAGTTGGTTGAACACTTAGTGCTTATTAATAGCACCCTTAGATAGAGACCTCTGACCTACTCACAAGAGGTTACTTTAATCTCCCCAGGAGGCCAGGACAGGGGAGAGGCTTAGGGTACCTCAGTACGGTGTCCTGGGTATTGCTGTGGGGGGGAGGGGTTCCCCACCTGCCAGGTGAGAGGCTCTTTCAGTTAACACAGCCTGCAAGGTCTCTGTCTCCCACGTAAGCGAACCCTTTCTTCTACTATATAACACTTGCAAGGACTTTTTACCTCTACTGAAGAAGTGAAACTGTCACTGAATGTATGAAGAGTTCATGCGCTGGGGACTCCATACAACCTTTATGGTAAAGGTTACCTCAGTTACCTCCAGTAGGCAGGATTTCTTCTGCCCCAACTGCTGCCACTAGGGCTTTGTACTCTGGACCCAGTTTCTTGAACACACACTTAGTCTCATCCATGCAATGGAGATGCTGACATAGCACCAGCTACTGTTCGTAAGGGTGCCACGAGGACTAAATTATACGAAGTACAGAAAACACTTAATACCAAAACCTGGCTCATAAACTGTTACCTACCACTTTCCTATAGCCTTCATTTATCTCCAGGAACTTATAATAAAACACACCTGGCCTCGACTCTTTCTTCACCAAATATAAACAGAATGGAAAAGGCAGGGCAGAAACCACTAGGAGTGTGCTTCAGGGCCATGCCTGCTAGCAGTTGCTATGTACATGCTGGCATTTGAAAAATTTGCGAATTTGTCTAAGTATAGTAGGAAAGGGCAAAAAAACACACTTTTGGTAAACAGAAGGCCAAACAACCATCGAAATTCAATTAAAACATTCAACATTAAGGCTTATTATTTAAAACCCTAAAATGGGGTTCTTTGTTTCCAGATCAGAGAGAGAGAGATACAGCTGTTCCAATCCACAGCCCTTCTCCACTCATTCATGGGTCTGCCCACCTTGGTAGCGTGGAATTCCCACGCAAAGCTGCAAAAGCAAAAACCAAACTCAGCCCTGTCCTGCAGTTTCACTCCTGTGGGTCATAGCTAGAGCATGCCATCCGCTAGCTTCTTCCTCTCACCAGAGAGTAACTCACTGAAACCACTCTGAAAGCTTTCCTTAACAGTTTCCAGCACCAAAACCAAGAGGTGGGAAAAGAAATACATGAAGCCACTGTAATGGATCACACCTTTCATCAAATAGTCACATTTGATAAATGCAAAGCAATGCTTTAATAGGAAAAACACACCAAAAGGCTTTTCCATTCTTACTTGTCATTTTATCTCTGATTGCACAATCCAAACATGAAGTTTGGTCTGTCTCAGTTTTTTCTTGTACCCTATGTACATTTTCGCAAACGAGTTTATCTGCAGAATGATAAATAATTTATAGAATCTGGAATATTTAGAGTAGTGAGATGCAAAGGGTGGTGATTTCCTCGTGAAAAGTGATTTAATGAGTATTTCCATGTTGTATCTTTAGGTTAACCTGAGTAAGAGCCGGCAGGGAACAAGGGTGGACAAAGGGCAGGGGAAAATGGGACGAGAACAACTCAAAGAGGTCAGGGGTTGTAAAAAATAAAGCGGGGAGTGCAGGAGACAGGGATAAGGAGAAGTGGAGCCTAGCAGTAGGTTACCAGACTTTAAAGAGATAAACTCATCACAGGTCAGTGATCCCAGGGAAGTACTTCTCCCCCGGGAATGATGATTAGCTGATCGATGACTGCTGCTTGCTTTCCAGCCTCTCCATCTCTACATTTTCAGCTCTTCTAGAGTTTCACCAAGAAGAGTCTTTGGGAGACAGACTCTGTGGCCTGGGCTACGTCATCTCCAGCATCTACTCCCATTCGTGGCAGCCTCTGGTTTCTTGCCCCTGCTGAAACTCATCCACTGAAATAGCACTTGGCGACTGATGAAAATAAATCAACATAAGGGACTAGCTGTCACGGAGCCTACCAGTATGGCTGTAGGCTGAACGCTAACTCCTGACAAAGGAAGCCAGCAGCAGCCTTTCCCTGGGAGTCAGAGCAGTGCTGGATTCCGGCCCGACGGCCTGTTTCTGCTCTCTCTGCCTAGCTCCTCCACAGCCCACTGAGGGCGACGCCAGAGGTGGAGGTGAGCGGGAAGCCAAGGAAGATAAGAAGACGAGGGAGAGCACAGTTCTTCATGAGTGTGACAGAACACAAAACCAGTTTTTAAAACACGATCTTTAGATAAATGTGCGTGTGTCATCATCTCAGCGGGCTTCAGATGGCGGACAACTCCGAATGCGTGCACCTCTACCAGCAAAGTCACCGACAACCCACGTTCAGTGACGCTGCCTTTCTGTTGCCGCAATTAGCCTGCAATTTAAAAGTCAAAACTAAACAGAGGATAATACTAAGCATACAGAAAAGAAAACCTTAATTTTTATGACAGGGTGAACTAGTATTGCTAAAAGCAAAGGTGTATGTTAAGATGATTTTTTTTTTTTTTGGTTTTTCTCCGGTACCGGGAACCGAACTCACGACCTTGCTCTTGCCAGGCAGGCGATTTTGCCGCTGAGCTAAATCCCCAGCCCTGATTTTTTTTTTTTTGAGACAGGGTCTCGCTGTGTAGTTCTGGCTGTCCTTTAACTCACTATGTATATTCAGAGAACAGTTGGAGAAACTTTTTAATTCTGGAAAATGGACAAAAGATAAAGAATCTCAAAAGATAAAAATATTTCTGTCCCCTCTGATGCGTTCCATAATATGGAGTGTTTACATGTTGATCTTTTCTGTGTAACTAGCCATATACAACAAGGGACACCTGGAAAGTTAACTTAATGGCATTAGATTGTTTCTTTTCCGTAATATTTTGCAATGAAGATTCCTATAATTTGTGGTTTTGCTTTCACCATTTTAATTATCTCTATTTCTGTCCTTTTGAGTACGTGGCATCTCTACAGTTCCTGGTAAATGGCGAGCTCTTTACTGTAAACTAAAGGGATAAATCTAAAAGCGAACGTGCCACTGTGACTTCAACAGACTTTACCACCACATAAAAATGACTGAGTGCTGGGTATTAGCAAGTTTTTGGAATGTTTCTTGAAGAGGTCTTCATCTCGTATTTTTAGTTAGTTAAGGTCATTAAAGAGGAGACCGTTACAACGTCAGTCTGGTTATGCGACCAGTTGTGACAAAGGTAATGTCACAGTTACAGTGACTGTTAGAAACAAGCCACTCACTCTCATTTGTGATGAAAAGAAATTCAGGCTCTCAGTCAGTGACAGCCTAAATCATGCCACCTAGAGGAATCTTAGAGTGTTAGTCAAGAAAACCAACAGGCTCCATT